TTTTACTATATATGTATTTATTCTGTAGAGGAAGTCATCATCATCATAACAACAACTCATATGGAAATGATGCCTTTCTGTGGAGCAAACAGATTCTTTCAATGACTTTCCAGAGAATTTCTTGGAAATCACACGGCTCATCTTTTGCCAACTGTTCCCTTCATGTATTTAATAAAAGTTTCAGTTTTCTCACCTTTGCTCCACAAGCACGTCCCATTATGTTTGAACGTCCTGGAGACAGTTCTGGCTAATGGGATCAAATCTACAGTCCTATATTGTTCATGCAGTCTGGCTCAATGGGCTGCTGCACTTCATCACAAAGGCTTTTTAATGACTGAGTAATATTTGAGCTTAGTTCAGCAGACAGGGGGCAATGAAGGAAGACTCTATCTTTTCTCATTAGAATGTGATCATTGTTCATTGCTCGGTTCTTCATCCAAGCAGCTGAAGCCTGGACAGTCATTTGCTGAAAGGTTGAGGTGCTCAGTGATCTCTTTATGGCGCTACGATGCCTGACTCCATCGGTTTCTGTCCTCTAATGTCTTTAAATGTATGTTTTTGTCGTTTGGACAGCCCACTCATACCACCATTTCCACAAACAGTTATGGAAATTGGACATTTTCGTTCATAGATTTTAAAATTGTATTAAACAATTATTTAGGCAAGATCCCCAAAATTCCATTCTTGTAGTTTCACCAGTGGCTTCTTTTTGAGATTTCATCCCTGACTCCAGCCAGTTTCTGCTCCAAGATTGAGATTAAAATATAATTTTTTTTAATTGTATATAAATGTTTAATTCATAAATCTTCTGAATTGGGGCTTCTGAGAAGGGTCACGGGGAGCTGGTACCTATTTCCATCAGCCTAACACAAAGCCACATATAGGAGCAAACTCACACTTAGAGATCATTCTGAAACAAACATGCAGGTTTCTGTGAGAGGGGAACCAGAGTACCTGGAAAAAAAGCAATGCATGCATGAGGAACTCCATGGAGAAAGGCAGCAGCTGGGTACTGATCCTGCACCCTTCTTTCTGCAAGGCAACAGCGCTGCCAACTGTGCCATAAATCTCAGCGACTCAGAGACATTGTTTAAGATATTTTTACTTAAAGGCGTAGAACACTAAAAACATTTTTTATTGATTATATCTGATTATAATCAGTCACTCTGAGTTTTTCATGCAGGCTGAACATGAAAATAGTCTCCTACACCTATCTCCTGCATTAGCTTTTGATATAAAATAGACATTGAAACTCCTAGGATTTGAAAATCCTGACAGATCTGATCTACGTCAAACAGTGGCTTGGTCTCACCATGCTGGCTCACAACGGGGAAGGCTGTTGTTGTTTTAGCATCCAGGAAACCGCAGAAAATGTCTCAGCTAGCAGAAGCTAACATTTAGCATTAGCAACTCCACCACATGGCAGAAGCTCCTCCAGGCTTATGTTGTTTGTGGAGGTAAAACATCCATGTCACAGCACAGAGTTAGTGGTAGAGTCGTGTTGCTGTCATCCAATCCGAGGCAGGATGTCTTATTATGAGGAACAGACAGATGTCTGCTGCCACTCTCTATAGCAGCAGACTTGTCCCTGCTGATCCAGGTGCTTCTGGGCTCTTTTTTAGTGATGTGTCGGTCGCGAACGAATCGGCTCTTTGAAGTGAACAACGGGAGCCGGCTCGTCATTGGGAGCCGGCCCCTCCCAATGTATTTTTTAATTGTATATAAATGTTTAATTCATAAATCCTCTGAATTGGGGCTTCTGAGAAGGGTCACATGTGTAACTGTGTGTCCAGACTGTCCACACACAGAGCAGTAGGGGCGGGGAAGAGGGAGGATCAGACTCAGACACACAGCAGAGCACATGCGGGTGGAGGGAGACGAGAGGGAATGAGGAGGAGGAAAAAGGCGAACGAGAGAGAGGAGAGTGCGACGAAGACGGTGAGAAAATGAGCGCCAGCAGTCGGAAAGTGGAGATTTCTTAAAGTGTTCAGTTATTAAATCCACAGAAATTATAAATATTTGATATATTGCATATCATTTAGCATATAGTTTTGCATAATTTTGGTTACAAATGTACTCTACCAACAGAAAATCCGAGGAGCCACTTGGGAGCCGAAAGAGCCGGCTCGTTTTGGTGAGCTGAGCCAAAAGAACTGGCTCTCTAAAAAGAGCCGGAATTCCCATCACTGCTATTTTTGCCCCAAGTTCGGCTTGCAAGGCATTCATTCCTGTCGACTGTAAATGTTTTAATAAACAAGTTTTCTACACTTTAAAGTTTATTGATCCAGATTACATGTTTAATTAAAATACATTTTGATGTGGATTTATTGTTTTGACTGATATATTTATCTCTTATATTTGTATTTCTCTTTGTTATGACTGCAAAGAACTTTGTTTAAGTTCAGCCACACAATAAACTGACATTGAGATGATAATGAATATAATTTAGTCTGGTTTAAAAACTTGATAAAAGCTGCATTTCCTCAGACCGTTTGTTAGCAAGCAGCTCTGCCTCAGGCCTTCTAAATATTTGGAGAAGAAGAAAACAGAATAAAATCTTTCACCTTGTTTAAAATGTTGTCCTTCACGGTCCCTCTGATAAATAGCAGCTAGCACAAGGTTAGGGTCGACGGGATCAGGTAAACTTTTTTAGTAAGTGGATTTTCATTCTGAAAGAGACAAATAATAACAGAAGACCTTCAGAAAGGTTTATTTTGGTTTTCTGTTGCACTGTCCACCTTCAGGGGTTCTCAGAACAAACATTTTAAATAAGTTTTTGGGGAGGATATGCAGAATTTGCAGACTTTAATTAAAAAGTAAACATCTGAGCTGTTTAGCATGTGGTAAATCCATCCAGCTGTGAAACTGTAAAAATCCAAGTATTTAACAGTTTAATTTCCTGAACAACTAGTTTTAGCAGATGAACGCCCTTTTTTAGTGCCATCTGCCATCTCTGCATGGATTTCTTGTTAAAATTGGCGTGTCTTTTTCTGGTGACAATAAGTTTTCTGCTTCTAAAATTAAAACTCAAACCAGGAAGTTCCTGTTTGAGAGAAATACAGAAAAACTAGAAATACAGAAAAACTGGAGACTCTGCTCTGGTAGCCTCAGGTGACCCCTCCAGTCACCATTTATTTATGTTCCAGATGAAATGAGGAACTCCTGGAGTTTATTTAACACATCCCTCATTTTCTACATTTACCTTCTTAAGAGCAGAGCCAAGTGTATCTTGGATTTTCTTCTTATGGGAAAGTACTTTTTGAGTTTGCGTTGGAAATTAAACATTTGTAGAAATAAAAATAAGCCAGAAGCAACATTCTTGTATTCTGCAAGGAAAAAGAAAAACATAAAGATGAACATGAACCAAAGTTTTAGCATCGTCCACCTTTAGGGTTCTAAAGTTTTTCTTCTAATCAGTTCTTAGAAATTTTAATATATATATATATATATATATATATATATATATAAATTATATATATATATATATTAATAATAAAATTTGTACACACTTGGCACTACCGAAATGTTTACCCAACGTGTCCACATTTGTGTTTCCATATTAGTTTAAATTTGATTACAGACAATATCCAGATTTTGAACATGGTAGAAAACACCACGTGCACGCTGCACTTCACTGATCGTCCAACCCCGGATGGCAACAACCTGACAACTGTTTACTGAAGCGTTTCCTTGTTTCCAGGTTCTCTGGGTGTTGCAGTAAAAGGGATTCTGCAGAAATGCATCAATAAAACTTACAAAAATGTTGACAAGTCTAGATCCAGAGACGTTTCCAGCTCACATGTGCTGACAAAACCAATGAGGTCTGGAGGCTAGCGCGTGTTTCCAGCTCTGGCTCCGCGTCTCACCCCAACATTTGGTTAGACTAATTTATAATTTAAAAGAAAACGAGCTTTAAAATGTGTAACCTAACAGATAATTGTCAGCTATATACGTAGATGTGTTAGTTCACCTCGTTTGCTCAGTGATGATTGATTTTCCCTCCGTGACCTGGCTTCTGCTCACTAGAATCTCCCAGATGGGGATAGATGCCAATTGCTGCAAAAGGACCATATGGCTGCCGCCTTCCTCCGTCTTTATTGGCTGACCTCTGTTGCTAACTCATGCTGACACCTTTCTGCTGTTTTCAGTGAGCTTCCTGCTTACTGTTGACTCTCCTGTCAGCCTGTCTCTTCAGATTATCACAGTAGTAGCTTTGTTTTCACGCTTACTAATAAAATCTCCTGCCATCTATGCACTAGATTACCCGATTTTCACTTTACATGAGGAGGATCACTATGTGCACCCTTTGTGGTGCCTGCTTGTACAAAACCATGGTTTCTGTCAGCGTTGAAGCTGAACTCAGTGTCTTTCACCTGGGGGAGAGGATGCAGCTGTTAGCAGTTCATCACATCTGTGCTCATTGTGTCTAAAACAGCTGGATAGGCTGCTGTGTCTCAGGCCAGGCTAGATTAGAATCAGATGTAGGAATAATCTGTTTATCATAAAGAAGGTTCAGCCAGTACCTGCAGCATGACCAAGGGGTCCAAGAGCTGTCAGTCAGGAGCCAATCAGCTGTCAGTCAAACTCACACCTGGATACAGTTGTAGGTCAAAACCAGAAAACATTATGAATAATTAAACAAAAGAAATCCTTGTCTCTCTTTTGCATGCCTTCATTCCTGCTGGTTTTGTGATTTACACATTGGTGTGTACCCACATTACTGCATTGTTTTTATTAAAATGTGTAAATGTTTCTGTATTTTGGAACATATTGAATATTTCTGTATTATTGTTTATTCTATTTTCTTCTACTTTTTCCTATGCAATTGCTGCTGTGAAATAATTTCCCCACTGAAGACGAAAGGATATTATATTTGCTAATGATGGCAACAACAAAAAAAAAATAAAACAAATAAAAACATGAATGAAATCTTGATGGAACAAAAATGCACAACTAAAACTTTTTCTTTTGAATAAGAAAAGAAACAAACCACAAAAATGGCCTCCTTAGCTCCTTTATTGTTTAGTTTTATGAATCCTTTGTTAAGAATTTTGGGATTAAATTATTCAAACATACAATTCAGACAGATTTATGGACCAGAGAGTTAAAATCTTGATAGGTGAACCCTGCACTATATTTTATTATTCTTATATCACTGTCATGCTGGGTACTACTAGGTGTTTGACAGAACCAACATGACACCCCGGGGGTGAGACTGCGGGTGACCGACGGATCGAAGCAGGTGGGGGACTGAGAGCGGGCGGCCAGGGTAGTGCAGCGAGACGTGACTTGAAGACCCAGGGTTAGAGATGAGAACCTGAGTAGACCGGAACAAAACGGGTTAAATATCAACAAACAGATTACTCGTCAAATTAATACTGATGCTGATCTACCCAAACTGAGTAATCAACCGGTGTGGAGTGTCTCGCTGCTCCTTAAGTACCCTGGTACCTTGATGCCCAACAGGGGAATCTCAGCCGCACCCACCTGCAGACTCGCTCAGGAATAAACACAGGAGATTTACCCAAACCGACAATCACCTTCAAAGATAATTCTCTCCGTTGAACTTTTATCCTCCTGCATGAGCCGCCTCACCCTCTGACCAAAGTCCGCAAGCGCTCACGTGTGTGCTTGGATAACACCCCCACTCTTCCATGGGATGGTCCCGCAGGCGAAATTTGCGTATTTCTTTGGAAAATGACGCAATCGCAGTCATAATCGGAAACCAGTTAGTCGAGTAGATTTTATTCTCCTGGAAAAAAGGCAGCTCGTCTCGATGAAACCAAAAGTTGATATGTGAGTGTGCGATAAAACCACACTGAACGGGGGCGTGGGAGACGCACGGAAAGCGCGTGGCCGCCTGCACTGGAGCCGCTACCGTGCGCGCTTTACTAGCAACAAGCATGCAGCGTTAAAACTGCTTCATCACACAGAGAGCACGCTGGCAGACTGCCTCTTGGAGACTCTTGAAGAAAAGATGCTGCGCTCCGGAGAAGCAGGTGAGGCGGAGAGGATGAGAGCATCGGAGCCGGAGCGACGCACGGACGCTGGACGTAAACACCTGCTCCAAACCAAAACTCCTCGGTCTTAGCTGCTCGTTTTTGATAAATCTGGATTTATTTCCCAACTCAAATATCTGGGGCACAGGACAATGGGGGCGCCATGAAAGCGATGAACGTTTGGAAAATACATTTGGAGCAAACCCACTAAGGACAACTCTGAAAGCCTTTTTTATTCTAGGGGTTGGAGCTGGGAGGATGACAGGGGCGCATTTCTACATAGGGATGGAGGTGCTGATTGCCGTCACCTCCGTGGTGGGGAACGTGATGGTGGTCTGGGCAGTGAAAATTAATAAAGCCCTGCGAGACACCACGTTTTGTTTCATCGTTTCCCTGGCTCTGGCGGATATTGCAGTGGGAGCGCTCGTCATCCCCTTGGCCATCACAATCAGCGTCGGACTTCAGACTCACTTTTACAGCTGCCTGCTGGTGGCGTGCACGGTGCTGGTGCTGACGCAAAGTTCAATCCTGGCCCTGCTGGCCATCGCCATCGACCGATATCTCAGGGTCAAGATCCCGACCAGGTAATGTGTTTCCCAGAAATGGGATGAAACAGGAATAACCATTGGGACAAATAGGAACTGGTTTTGATTTTAGATGTGTTTCAGGATATTCTGGCTGTCTGGCTGCCTTTTTAAATTTAATGAACATGAAAGTGGTTTTCTTGCTGGAACAAAAGTCAGAACAATCAGAGGTGGTGACAGGGAGATGATGAGATCAGCCACAATCATGGAGGGATTTATGAGGCAGCACACAACAGCTTTGTGTCCAAGTTTCAATATTCCAGCTCATTTGGTTTCTGTTAGATTTACAGACATCCAAACTAGCCAGTTGGGATTGCAGGATTTGGGAGAAAATCTAAAAGTAAACAAAGCTGAATCAGCATTTCCCCCAAGTTTCTTAAGGGCAGCTTAACACACATGTCCTAAAAATCCAACATATGGCACCAGTGACAGCAGGTCCAGTTTGGCTTCAGGCTACTTTTTCCAAAGTCAGGTTGTTGCAATGCAAACATTTTCTCTCCGACTACAACATCACACACTGTAAATAGCAAGCATGGTGATCTTCTCTCCATGCTTTCTAACATGAGCTGGATCTGATAACTGTTTTCATCCATGCCTTTAGGCGAGTGTCAGGCCGTCTCTGTTTCATCTCTGGGTCTGAAGACAAGAGAGCTGAAGCTGTGGAGCTTTAACCTCTTTAACCTTTACTTATTAGATGAAGTAAATGACAAAACCTGTTTCTGAGCAAGGAAAAACATCTAATCTTGACAAATATTGCTGCATGTTCCTTCTAAAATGATGAGTGAAATTGTAAATCAAACATGAAAGGAGGCGAAGATGCAAAGTTTGATGCTTTGTGCTTCGTGAGATGCTATATTTGTGTTCAAGTTCTTCTGGATGACATGTTAAAACCTCAGAACCAGAACTCTTGAAAGAACAAAAATCACCTAAATTCCCCAAAATTCTATTTTGTTTACTACAAAATAACAAGCGACTAAGAGACACATCAACTAACGTGCACATACAGATACAAATAGGAGCAAAACTGCTGCAAAAACATTTAGGGGCAGCCTGATCTTAAAACATCTACACATGAACAAGATGTGATCTGAGGGTCAGGAGTGGCTCTGCACCCAAGATCAACAAATTAAAACAAAACTATTTAAAAGAAGCTTTTGAAAAGCAGGAATTTTCTGAATGAATGAGTGAAACATCCTCGTGAATTAATGCTGTCAATCCAGAAAGATAAATAAAGTAGCAAAGAAAACATTAACGCTCCATTTAGGGGCCATATTATGCAAAAATCACCTTTTGTGCTGCTACGCATGTCTCTACTGCCTCTACAAATGCCCCAAACATGAAAAAACATGAAAAACATCCATTCATTTTGTCTCATTATGTTATGTTTCCACAACAAGCTGATTCAAAAAGTCCCTATTTGTGACATCACAAATGGGGAAAATGGAAAAGAACCACTTCTCATGTGAAAGAGGGGGCAGCTAATGGAGGAGCAACTGTTCAATGCTAAGCCCCTCCCAGATATTGGAGCTTTTCAGCTTATTGCAGCCTGAGACGGGGAGGGGTGGGCATGGCCAGCTCCAGCTTGTTTTAGTAAAGTGACAGAGCCCTGAAACGGCTCATTCTGGAAGGCACTGAAACTGTCAAGAATAAAACTGCTGAGACTGCTTCTTGAGTGGGATTTGTTGCAAAGAACTTCATGAACACGTTTAGAATTGACCATAAAACTATTATATCTTGAGACAAACGGTCATGACATGTCCCATTTGAGTAAAAATGCTGACATGTTGATTGTTCCTGCAGGTACAAGCGAGTGGTGACTCCTCGGCGAGCTGGGGCGGCAGTGGTGATGTGCTGGATGGTGGCTTTCATCGTGGGACTCACGCCCATGCTAGGCTGGAACAACCTGAAACGCCTTCAGGAGAACGGCTCCATCAGCTCCAACCTCAGCGTCACCTGCCAGTTTGAGACGGTCATCAGCATGGACTACATGGTCTACTTTAACTTCTTTGGCTGGGTGCTCCCCCCTCTGCTGCTCATGCTGGCCATTTATGCCGAGATCTTCTACATGATCCACAAGCAGCTTAACAACAAGAAAATCACCTCCAGCTACTCAGACCCCAACAAGTACTACGATAAAGAGTTAAATCTTGCCAAATCGCTGGTTCTGGTGCTCTTCCTCTTTGCCATCAGCTGGCTCCCTCTTCATATCATCAACTGCATCACACTCTTCTGCCCGCAGTGCAAGAAACCCATTGTTCTCCTCTACATCGCCATCCTGCTCTCGCATGGCAACTCTGCCGTCAATCCCATTGTCTACGCTTTCCGCATTAAGAAGTTTCACACGGCCTTTCAGAAGATCTGGCAGCAGTATTTCTGCTGTAAGAACACGCTGACGCTGGATTTCCAGCAAAGCGAGAGGAAAGAGGCACCCAATCTGGAGATGCAGCAGGCCGCCCCGTTGCAGCCCACTCAGCTGGATGACTTTAAATCCTATCCACCACTTCAGCCAGAACAGCCTTCGCCAGAGGGCAACCAGAAGATCAAAACACATCAAAAACCTCACAACCATCATCCAGCGGTGGAGCAGAACGCTGTCTGAGTTAAAGGATTGAATCGGGTTGAAGGTGTAATGATGGGTGCACGAGCAGCAACTGTCTGCTCACGTGAATGTAGTCGTGATTTGCTGCACGGGGCTGCAGAGCCTTTGTGATTCAGGCAACATGGATCAATGGAAGATAATCCCTCTTCCCTCGGAAGGAGAGCATAAAAGATGCAGAGAGGTTTCAGCTGGAGGTCCTTTGGACGGTGTGTTTATCTTAGTAACACACTGACCTTTAATTATTCATTCATCAAGGTGAAACAGTTGGTGTGAACTTAAGAAAATGTGCAATATTTAATTTATTTTGTGTTTTTATTTCCTCCCAGTATCAAATTCTCATATGTTGCAGCTTGCTTGAGCATTTAAACCACCAACGGAGCAGGGTACTCATACTTCTGTAATGTTGTGTATGTTTTATCTGACACTGGCTAAAAAATTATAATAATATGAATGTAACCATGTAAATATGAGACTGCAGCACTGCTGTGAACGCTCATTTAATCTTCAGGGCCTTAATTGCACAACATTGTGCAGAAGAAGCAGCCCTGAGAGACAATAAGGGAGTCAAGGGCGTGCAGCAAATGTTTTGTAGCCTCATACGTCTCTGCACTGAAGCTCAGGCCCTTTTGTGATCCTGCACCAGATTTTTCCATTGCAGAAAAGAGGGGTAGGGTTACGGAGAAGCACACGGAGGCAACGGGGGGATTTTGAAATATTAAAGGCTACATGCAGGACACACAAGATGCACTTAAAGCTCATCTTTGTCCAGCTTCCACTCTAGTTAGTGTGGAGAGTTTCATTTCCTCAAAACGTTATTTAATTTTGATTTTCCACCACAGACTGTTATTTAACCATTTACTTACTGAACTCCCCTGATGACTGGGAAATAACCTGAGGAGTGTGAGTATTTACAGAAGGCTCATTACGTTGCCAGAGTGTGGTGTCTGTGTGTGGATCATTAAACCAAGTTCAATGCCCCTCGCTCAGACAGATTGTATGAGAATGTAAGGACTTTTATTTATTTGTTTTGTAAAGACTCTGAACTCTTGCCAAGTCGCTTTGCTGGCAATCTCTGTCTTCAGGTGGAAACATTTATTTTACAACCGGCAGGTGAGGATGCTTGACAAACTGCAAACTAAGATTTATTTTTGAAGCAAATGTTAGAATCCAAAACACAATCCAAGTGTGTAAAGCTCATTCAGAACAGAAAACATGGTTTGGAAAAAGATATCTAAGCTGCTTCTCTTCATTGAGAGAGGAAATCATAATAATGTTTTTTCGCATTGGTGGAAGAATGTTTGACCCTGCAGTGCATTAGGCCCTCAGATGGTTTGCATCATTATTAAACACTTTACAGAAACGTTTACCGACAAGAGCTTTCTGCTTGAGGTGAAAGGCAGACCTTTGGTACAGAAATCTTGTTGCAACATTAAACAAAAGCACAATTTTCACAATAATTAAGCAAATCCTGTTTATTAAAATGCCTGAAACCCCAATTTCTTTACCCGCTCATCCATGCTGGGTCACAGATGCCTATCTCCAGCAGTCTCCAGACAAACCGGTGAGGTGCACCCTGGACAGGCTGCCAGTCCATCGCAGGGCAACACAGGATAAAAAACCACACACACACACACACACACACACACACACACACACACACACACACACACACACACACACACACACACACACACACACACACACACACCTAGGGACAATTTAGGGAGATCAATCAACCTGACGGAACCACGTATGCACAGGGATAACATACAAGTTCCATGCAGAAAGACCCCAGACTGGGATTTAAACCAAAGACCTTCTTGCTGCAAGGCAACAGTGCTAGGCACCGTTTCACTGTGCAGCCCCCCTGCTGTTATTACAATGTTTTTTATGTGAGATCCCTAATCAACAACTTAGAGCATTAGAATAAATGACAACGATCAGAAAATGCACTTACAAATTGCCTCTCATTGATCCTTGCAGCGGTCTTGGTTTCGTTTTAATCTATAATATCTACTGATGACAGAAAATTTGCATCTGACAATTTAGTGCAGCTTTATTCTCTCTGAAAAGAAACAGTTTATGATCCAGTTTCTACCTAATCAGTCCTCCTGGTGAGTCATTGCTTCTCGACTTGCAATTATTCTACAGTTTTTAAGCCCAAGATAATGCAACTCTGTAAAGGTGCAACTCTGCAGGGCTGTCAGAGTTCTCATAATAATAATAATATAAGAAGAAGAAGAAGAATGCAGCTCGAGGTTGTTAGATAACACAAGGGGTTGTCACCATTTCTTCTCTTTCTTTGATACTTTGAGATGCATGAAGCTCTTAAAAAGATCCCACAGCCTGAGCAGAGGCTGCTCGCTCGGAGCTGCCAGTCTATGTCTCCTCCCACCAACAGTCACACACACACACAGTTATAACTTCAGTTATAAATCCACGCAAACAACAAACACGTTCTCTGCTTCCTTTCATGTGACATCATGTTGACCAAAAAGCATTTACAAATCAATAACTAGGTTCAATAACACCTTTTCACAGAACGGAGCGCCACTATTTCAGTCTCTGATGCTATTCTCATGCTGAGGCTACAAAGGGAGATAGAATATCAAGTGGAAGGTTGGAGATAAGAGGAAGAACCACGAGGAGAATACTGCAGCTGTGTGTTTCCAGATGAACAGCTGAGGTGACCTTTCCATAAACTGATCAGCTGTCTGTGAGGCTTTATATGGAGCCTAAGGGTGTTTTTTTTAATGTGACTGTAACTCTGGTTTTGGGAAAGCTTGTCATCTGATGATTTTCCTCAATGAATTACAGCCACCCCTAGTTTAAAATGCAGATTATTTGATGTTGAGAAATGACGTTTAGTCATTTTTCAGTTTTTCTAAGAACGATTAGCGATGGCCACCAACATAAATCAAGTTTTTCAGATATAGACGTGACTCCAATACAGAATTTCTGAGCTTTTCATTGAAATTTGTGCGGTGGATCGTGAGATATTTCTCTAAAAGGAAGATAAACAAACAGGCAAAAGCATTTGTGCATTTGGAAATTTACTACAACAAACGGTAAAATGTGAAAAACTTCTTTGGACCTTTAAAGAACTATAAAAATAAAAATAATCCTTTGATCTCCATGTTTTAAATTATCATCAGATACTAAAACTAGCTGGAATTATGAGTAAACTACCTCAGAGTTCAAGAAACCTCAAATCCATCCATCCATTTTTTGAACCCGCTTGTCCACGTAGGGTCGCGGGGGCTGGTGCCTATCTCCAGCGGTCAATGGGCAATCAGGCGGGGTACACCCTGGATAGAGAGCCAGTCCATCGCAGGGCAAAACAGAGACACACAGGACAACCAATCACACACACCTAAGGACAATTTAGACTGACCAATCAACCTAACAGTCATGTTTTTGGAATGTGGGAGGAAGCCGGAGTACCCGGAGAGAACCCACGCATGCACAGGGAGATCATGCAAACCGGGAAGCGAACCCAGGACCTTCTCGCTGCAAGGCAACAGCTCTAACCACTGCGCCACTGCACAGCCCAGAAACTTCAAATGTTATCAATTCTCAAAACCACGTGTTGGACAAGCAATGGCGCCCCCAAAGGGTGGCCAGTGTGGCCATAGCCACCCTTATAAAGTTGTTGGTCTCCCCAGCAAAAACCAGCGTTAATAAATGATATTAATGTTCACTCAAACCAAAATTTGATCTTATTTATTCAAGAAATAATTGGAAAACAAAATTAAAATAATACAATTATAATAAATAATAATAATAATTTAAAAATACTTGTTTCTACTGCTCACCCTTTTAAAAATGTTTTTATCTCCATAGTGTTGGTGAACACAGCAACACAGGTGAATTAAACTAAATAAATACATTTTTAAATTAAATTTGAGGTAACATTTTAAATGATGTATGAAATGTATTTTTCTGAAATGTTTGTGTTTGTAAAATTTAAGTAAAATGTTTTGGATACAAACTGTTTTTTTTTAATGAAAACTAATAAAGGAGCGATGCAATACATCGCCACAAGCTAAACTTTCCCGGAGTTACCACAAGGACCAATTTGGTGTGCCACCCCAAAACATTTTTTGGCCCGTCTGGCCACCCCTATCAAAATTTTCTGGAAGCACCCCTGTGGACAAGTGGATATTTATTAGGAAGCGTCTGTAGAAAATATGATTGTTTGTAATTGTGCAGGATCAGTAGAGGAGAGCTGCAACAATAAGTGTGTGTGTGTGTGTGTGTGTGTGTGTGTGTGTGTGTGTGTGTGTGTGTGTGTGTGTGTGTGTGTGTGTGTGTGTGTGTGTGTGTGTGTGTGTTGGTGAACTGCATGTATGTGAATCAATATTTCCTCCGGTTTGTTTGTTTCAATCATGTTTCATGTCAATTATGGTCAACGCCATCCTGCAGACCCTCTGCAGCACCACTGGGGTCCAGCCTGAGAGGGAAAGGGCTCTTTGTGATATTTACGTCTCTACAGGCAGCTTTCCTATCATTAAAAATTAAATATGCTGTATACCTGCACTCTTACCAAACAGGCCTAATGAATAAGAAAAAGTGTTGTGCGGCCCTCTGCACAACAGAAATCATGGCTGCTTGTTGCGCCCCCCCCCCCCCCCCCCCCCCCAACATCTGTCTGCAGCTGGGACCTGGGAGCTTTTCACAGTGTGGTGGTGCTATACTATAAAGATCAGAACAGGATCTGCCAACATACACAGTTAATTGTCAGCTTTGTTCTACATGTACGGCTTCAAAGAGAGAAAATCGGTCATATAAACATAAAAACAAAGCTACCACTGCCGCATCAGCATCTGGATCATCTGTGTCATGACAATCGGAGCGGAGACGTCAGTTCCAGGCTGGTATTCTAGCTAATGAGGAGCTGCAACCGAAGTGGGCAGAAGCTTAAAAGAACATGAGGGATCTATGTGTGAGGCAGATGGAGCATTTGCATTCTGTATCAAGTCATCGCTGTCAGTTACCTGGTAATGATAGACAACGTGTTTCAGCTAAGCAGTGGGATACACAGATCATCAGCTGCTCACTGAGGAGAAATCCTTCAATTTAACCAGAAATGGAGATTAGAAAATAAACAGAATTGTGTCCTTTTGCAATCAGTTATTCAGCCAACAGGCTCACAAAATAAGGCCCGCATTAATGTTTCAGCATCTTTAAAAATAAACTCAGAATTTATCATGAAAACAAAGCTTTAAATCTTTAAAGTAAATTGGAGGGTTGAATTCTGGGATTCTGCAATGACGGACAGCCAACAGAAAAATAATGAAGCTCACATAATAATTAGATTAAAATCTGAAGATCAGATTGAGCTGGTTACTTGTTTGGGTCGTGTAATTATCTGTCGTGAATAGAAGAGCTTTTCTGTTCAAGCTCACTGCTGCTTTTTGACTCTTATTCCCTGAACCAGAGCTCTGTTTCTACACTGGCCTCATTTAGGTGTCCTTATGGTAGAGCGCCACCTGCTGGTCGGATCGTATTGATATGATTTCCCTTTTCCCGCTGGCCCTGGCTCATTTCCTGTTCAGTTTCCAGAACCTTTTATTTTTTTAGATTTTGGTAGCTCCAAAGATAAGATAAGCTGAAAATAAGAAGTTAATGAGCACCATGATGCAAAACAACAGCACTCAATTAAAACTCTACAAGTTACTCCTGGAGCACCAAAACCAACATCTGGCTCTGGATGGGCTCACCCTAATTTTAACCAAGAAAAACACAAATTTGATTTATCTTTTTTTTTTTTAGTTAATAATACAAGGAGGTTGGGCTGCTCACATTAGATGTATTTTATTATTATTGGTACAGTTGTGCACTGGTTTTCCATCATTTCATAACTAAAATTTGAAAAATAAATGCTTGAGAATTTAATGAAACATGTTGCTGGTGATGGAGCGCAAGATCGACAGGTGGATTGGTGCTGCTTCTACAGCGATGTGGGCGTTGTACCAATCTGTCTTTGTGAAGAAAGAGCTGAGCCAGAGGGCAAAGCTCTCGATTTACCGGTCATTCTATGTTCCTACCCTCACCTATGGTCACGAGCTTTGGGTAGTGACCAAAAGAATGAGATCGTGGATACAAGCGGCCAAAATGAGTTTTCTCTGCAGGGTGTCTGCGTTCTCCCTTAGAGATAGGGTAAGAAGCTCAGTCATCCGGGATGGGCTCGGAGTAGACCCGTTGCTCCTCTACATCGAGAGGAGCCAGTTGATGTGGCTTGGGCATCTGAGGATGGACTCTTCCTTGGTGAGGTTTTCCAGGCACGTTCACGTAGGAGAAGATCTAAAGTAAGACTCAGGACACATTGGAGGGACTATGTCTCTCAGCTGGTCAGGGAACGCCTTAGGATTCAGCCCAAGTGGGTGGGGAGAGGGAATTCTGGGCCTCCCTGCTTAGGCTACTGACCCCGACATCCGAACCCGGATAAGCAGAGGAAAGTAGATGAATGTTGTTGCTGTTTCCTTTTGCCCAACACTTAAACGTAAAAGTTTAAATAATTTAGCAAACCAAAATCAATTGTAGTGCATTCATATAAAGGTGGTAATGAAGTGTTATAAATTTTTTTATTTTAATTTTATGGATCCAGTTAATTTTAAAAGTTTCCATTTTAAAAGTGACAGACTGCTGAAGTGAGAACATGGTGCAGATCTGGGGCCTCATTTATCAAGCTTGCTTACGCACAAAACGGGGTCGGAAAACTGCGTAAGCAACTTTCCATGCAAACTTTGGGATTCATGAAAGAAAACTTGGCGGAAAAATGTGCGCAACTTTAAGTTGATTAAGGACCTGGCTGACGCACATTTTGGACATGGAGAGCACCTGCAGTGCTGCTGCTGAGAAGGATAAAATTATGAAATCCTGCAGCATTATCACTTGTACTGCTTCGTTTTCACACAGAACAAGACCCCACACGCACACACATGCACGCACACTCACACACACACAAACACACGCGCACGCACGCACACACACACACACACACACACACACACACACACACACACACACACACACACACACACACACACACACACACACACACACACACAGCCTGAAGCGCAGAGTACAGAATGCAGAATATCAGCAGGGGGACAGATTGAGACAGAACGTCATGCGTCTGTGACAGTGTGTGTGTCCTGTCACTGTGACCCGATTGATCATGCGCCCTGGCTACTTGTACAGTGGAGATCTCCATTTGGCTGACTGGATAGCATGCATGACTTTCACCCGGGAGTCAGGGGATTGAATCACAGTTGGACTATTATTTTTATATCCGCCACAGATCTCTCTGAAGAATTCACAACATTGACGGCCTCAGCAACGTTGTGCTACTCCGTGGATTTTCTCTTATTTGTTTTGCAAAAGCACTTCCTTTCATTTCTCCACCTCACCCACAGGTACCTCAATTTCTGCTTCTGAGAAATTGAGCTTCCTTGATCTGCCTTGATCTACGGTCGTCATCGTCATTGGCGGAGCGCTGCAACAGCCGGCTTATGTGTATGCATGAGATCCACAAGGTACTTTGCATTGACTCTTTATGGCAGAAAGTTGGCGTGATGAGGGCGGGATGTGACAAAAATGCAGCTGAGAAACATTCTCGTTAGTCTCCGATTTATGAAGCGGAGATTGCGTGCAGCTGTGCGTACTCCTTGTTTGATAGATCACAAACCTAAATGGCGTAAGTACATTTTTGTTGCTGAGCTTAAATACGGTTTTAGTAAGGATTCTACTCAATGTTTGATCAATGAGACCCCTGATGTTTTTAGCCTTTGGTGCTTTGCAAGAGAATTCACAAAGTACTAAATATCCTTTTGTTGATTTTTATCCTGAGCAGCTGTTGTGAGCAGGTGTTTGATCCTGCTGACTATCTCACAAAGATCCTGCAGGAATGAATCAGCAAACGTTCCCCTCAGGCCATACAAACTCCGTCATTGCAGGTAAAATGTTATTTATGTCATCTGCAACACAACAATTAATTATCTTTGTTATTTTATCGCATCAGTTCTCCATTTGAGAAGTTGTGTCAGAGGTTTGGCCGTCCACGCCAGTGACACCAAAGAATCATTAGCAGATGTGTGTAAACACACCAGTAAACCAGAGTTCATGTTGTTTTGCACCATTACAGGAAAATGTCGAGCGTGTGCATAGCAAGCGACTGTTTGTCCTGGCTGCGTTTATCGTAGGTCGCGTGAGTTCAAACCGCAGAGCAGCCCCACATCTGTAACAACAGCAAACACACATCAGCAGGAGGAACGACTGCATGCCTCAACAAGTCTGAGCCAGAAGTGTGCAGAAGCCGCTGAAGGGATGATCCTGACTCACGTCCAACCTGCTATCAGCTGC